AAATGTGCACTTAGTTCCTGTTGTTTTTGACAACAAAATCAGCAATGAGCCGATCATACACAAAACAGGATTAGTTTTTTCCTGCTTTGCACGTAGAATTTGACCATTTAACAAAGAGGTCTTCATATTTCCTATGGATTAGACACAGGTGAGTTGTGATGATCCAATAATCACCAAATCGATGATTGGAGTACAAAAGAAAATAACAGTAGCATGGAACCTCACTTCAAAAGATGAAACCCGCAAGCATCAAGCAGCGTTTTCACACACCACAAAACTGCCTGGATTGATGGTAATGTTTTTGGTACAATTATCAGTTTTGTAGATCCCAACAAGTAGATCAGCCAATTCAAACATGTTATTCCTAGGGCTGCAAGGAAATCAAGGAATTACAGGGAAAACAGATTCAGTACAGACGGTACCTAGCAATGATAAAAGAAAAACCTGAGAGACAACACACACCTTGTTAGTATAAAACTGGCATCTTTTGTTCGGTCCTTCACTTAATGGCCAACTATAGAAACATTCTTGAAGTCTGAAACACCATAGCAACCAATAAATTTTGGTGACTGAGGATAGAAGAAGGGAAGTATACACATATATTATAAGAAAAGAAAAAGAAAATGGTTCATGGTTCAAAAAGTGTACCAAGAGCTGCATCAATTTCGCCCATGACATAGAGTAGGGTTGGCTTGTAATGGTGAAGAGCAAAAACAAGTGCTAATGAGCTAAGAGCCTGCAAGCAGTAACGAAGCATATGTTAATAACCCAGAATTTGAAGTATAATAAAGAAAAAGGATCAGGTAAAGCAAGTTTCGCATTAACAAACGGACTGCCAATGACAAGGACGATAACCTTTTGCACCACCGGATAAGATAGCAATATTCTGCCAGCTCTTCTTTGTGGTCTGACACTGAAAACAACACCTTCAGAGAAAGTATACAGAGAATCCACCAGTTCAAGTTCGGCATCACCTTCAAGTGTGATCATCAGTCCAGTTCAGTCAGCAATCGAAAACTGTTATAGTGAACGACAAAAAATTGGGAAAAAAAAAAAGGTAAACCGACACCAGCACAACAAAAATGCAACAAGTGGACTAACAACAATGCTGGTGCAAATTAGTTGACAGAGGACTTAAATGGAAAACTACGTAAGAGCTTGACCTCAGAAACAATCCCCAACTAATAAGAATAATGTCAAACCTGAGTTTTAAGGAAACAGTAAAAGTCTCAGCTAGCATATAGCTTATAGCACATCCTCATAAGTGGTCGAGGACTCTAGGTACTGATCTCACCAACTAGACTGTGTGGCAGAATCCACTATAAAATGAGATCAGTCATAATTCAAACACTGGATTTCATGCCAGTCAGGGTCTAATACCATGACAGAGAGTGTGTTGAAAGTTTAAACTGATAGATTAAGGTTCAAGCAATACAGATCCCAGTATCTCCACTTCTCTCTCCCCAGTCAATAACAAATAAACAAATAAAAATCAGACTTTGTTGTTCCGGGAAAACAAAGTTATTTTTGCCTGTACATGGTTTCTTGTGTGTCTCAGTTCTACTATCATAATTTTTGTCATTGTCCTATAAGTTGATTCCTTCTTCTCAGTCTTTCACTCTGCAATTTCTGCACCCTCTCTATTTGTGCAAGGATCTGCCTATTGCTTAGTAACTTCTGCATGGACTCATCACCACCTGGCTTTTACTTATCCCACTTAATCCCCCTTAATCCATGCCTTATTATGGTAATAAACCTACAGTTTCTATTTCCTAACAGAGTAATGTAGAGAAATTAGAACACAAATTTAACTGCTCTTAGTGCATATTTGCACAATTTCTAAAATAGCTTTGATGCAAAGACTACCAACCCTTGTTCAATCTTCTCTAAGATGGTGTGGACCGTTGAGAAGCACAAATTGAAAACTAAAGTATATATTCTTTAAAGATGTTATTTTTTCTATGTTTACCTCTGTCACACATTTCTTCAGCAATTTCATATTGTCATTAACCAAAGTGTAAGTATGATATAACACATGTAAGCAAAAGCATCAAAAGTAGAATGTGGAAAATCCAGAAACTAATCCATTTCTTGTAGGCAGATTCATCATGTTGGATCTGCTAATGGTATCTTGACATAAATATGAAAAATGTCATCATTATTCTGTTTATACTTTGTAGAATTTAAAGACATAAGTGTACAAACAAACATAATAACAACCTGTATGGTATGGAAACTAAATCCTTATTTATGCAACTGTCATATAAGCATCTCTGTAATGCCAGAAACAATCATCTAGCTTCCATCACAGAAATTGACACTTGATTTATGGAACAGTTCTCTGACTTGACCTCAGGACCACCAACTTCTTGCTGAACTACAGTGGTGATGAAAAATGCTGGTTGTTTTGGTTGTGGCAGCGGCATTGTCTCATTTGAAAGCATTGAAACAACATCGAGCATGGTTGGCCTATCAATGGCATGGTCTTGTACACACAAGAGGCCAATATGGATGCATCTTAATATTTGATTATGAGGGCAAAATCCATCTAAAGTAGGATCCATTACCTCCAAGGCTTTATCTTCATTCCAAAGCTGCCATGTCTGATGAAAACCAAGATTGTATTTCTCATACAAATATAAAGGTGTGATAGCATATTCATTCAAAATGAGTAGAGAAGAGAGGAAGCGTGAAGAGAGAAAAAAGAAACTTACATATCCTACAAGGTTAAGTGGATGCTCAGAATGATAGCGATGAGTATTCTTCATTCCACTTACAAGCTCTAGTAGCAAAACTCCGAAGCTAAAAACATCAGTTTTGATAGAAACAAGGCCATGGAAGGCGTATTCTGGGGACATATAACCATTGTAGAAATTATCAAAACACCATTTTGTCAACATTTGGTAGGGCAAACAAAGACAATTTACAAATGTGGAACTACTTACTATGTTCCAACAACTCTATTTGTGTTTGCTTCAGATTCATTCAGTCCAAATATTCTAGCCATACCGAAGTTGGATATTTTTGGATTCATCTCACAGTCCAATAAAATGTTGCTGGCCTTTAAGTCTCTATGAACCACTCTCAATCTAGAATACTTGTGAAGATAAAGAAGCCCCTGAGCAATCCCTTCAATGATGTTAAGACGCATCTTCCAATTTAACACTCTCTTCTTTG